ATATATATATATACAGGCAAAATTCCAAGACAAAAATTGCAAGAGGCAAATGGGCACGACAGCACGAATTATACAAACTTGTCAAGAAAGTATAAAACAACTTACAGATTGTATTCAAGAAGAAAGGCTTAATAAAATTGAAAGAGATAAACAAGTATTAGAAGAATATAAACAAATGACACAAATGTATCAAACACATTTACATAAAATAGAAGAGCAATTAACAATTGCTAATAAGATAAGAGAAGAAAGAAATAATTTATTTAAAGCTTTTCTTAATAAGCAAAATAATAATTAGACATTGACTTTTACTTTTAAAGTTAAAATTTGACTGATAGTTTTAAAGTTTTATATTTTGTTATTAATTATATCTTTTAATGTAAAATATTAGGTGTACAAATAAGTTTCCGCCGTTTGACAAAAGTTGGCGCCACCAGTAAGTTATGGTTAAAATTGTCAGATGTAAAACGTCCTTATCGTAAGATTGGACATCAGTCAATAACATAACCTTAAAACATTAGTGATTTTTTATCAGAATAATATATTCTTTTGTGTGCGAAAATGTCGAGTTTTGAGCCGAATAAGCGTCATTTGCGGGAACTTTTGATTTACTTCTTCAATTTGAAGAAATCTGCAGCTGAGGCGTATCGATTGCTTGATTCTTGGATAGCCTCAAAAGATGAAGCATTCTTCCGACGCGGTATCCGTATGCTGCCAGAAAGATGTGAAAAAGTAGTGGCAAGCGATGGGCAATACTTCAAATAAAACATTAGGTTCCGTTCTTTCACAATAAATGCCCAATTTTTGATAAAAAACGGCGGAAACTTATTTGTACACCTAATATTAATTTAAATAGATATAAAAGTAAGGCTCTTACAACTTAAAATCAAACTCCGAATAAAAAGGCAAAAGAGCCACGCGCAGTTTTTTGGGCGCAAAGGTATATAATTTTAAACCAAGAAATAAATTAGAATTTCTTTAATTACATGATTCGCGAATGGCGGACGTTTCGGCCCTTTTTTTTTGGGCCATCATCAGCGCAAATAGTACTAAATTAAACTATAAACGGTATACATAAAAAATCTTAATCAATTAAAGCGCAGAGTTACATGGTAACCAACGGTAGAAGGCGTAATCCCTCATGTCGCTTGATTTCCACATGTTTAGATCGATGGCGCATGGCCTGTCTGAGCAACACTTCACATCATATGAAGATACCAAAAATTGGGTCGATTCGTGGATAGCCTCAAAAGATGAAGCATTCTTCCGACGCGGTATCCGTATGCTGCCAGAAAGATGGGAAAAAGTAGTGGCAAGCGATGGACAATACTTTAAATAAAACATTAGGTTCCGTTCTTTCACAATAAATGCCCAATTTTTGATAAAAAACGGCGGAAACTTATTTGTACACCTAATATAATATTTTTTTTTGTTTTGTTTAATATTATCTTAATATAATATTGAAGACTGTATAACGTAAGGCTGTTTATCATATAATGATATAAATATAATACTGTTTTTTTTTGTTTTTGGCGTTATTCTAGTATATATAACATAATATAATAAAATATTCTTTATTCTACGTTTTGTTATTATTTTATTTTTATCAAGTAGTCAATAAATTACGTATTTGTTGACGAACATGCACTCCTGTTATGTCACCCTCATATTCTCTTGCATTATCGATTATTTCAATTTGTCTGTTTTGTAATTCGATTTCAGGATATTCATCATCTAACTGTTGTTCAAAGTGTAATAAACCGCTTTCGCGAGGCGGTGACGGATAACTCGGTCGGGATCCGGGGCTCGTGAAAGGGTATCGAGAGACGAACGAAAGTGATGTTAGATAAAATATAATTTATTGCGTGTTGTGGTGTATATGTACAGCGTGTGTATGTTATGTGTGTAAGCGTGTATAGGTGTGTGAATAAATGATTATGTGTGCGAGACGAGTGACGAGGGAGTGAGTGCGCAAA